CTGTCCCTGCAGAGCCACTCAGAACAAATTGGCTTCTTCTCACGTCTGTTGGCTCTCAAGAATGTGGAGACAGAGCTCACGTCCCCCTGAGTCTTCCCTTCTCCAGGCCGCACATCAGCTGTGCATTCAGCCATTCTTCACATGACAGTCCTTTGTACCCTCTTTATTTGGCTCTCTTTCTTCTAGATGTGTTCCAGTTTTGCCAGTGTTTTTCTTAAAGTGACTGAACAGTGCTGGAGAGTGGCTAGCACCATTGTCTTAAGCTAGATCTGCTTCTTCATTTATAGCTCTGTAACCTTGGATGAGTGATGTAATTTCTTTGAATTTCTGTAATCTCATCTGAAAAATGAGATAAGAGTATTTTACACATTCATTTGTTGTGAGTAGTAAATAAAACCACAATGAAATCATCAGGAGAGTGCCTGGTACAAAGGAGATGGGTTCAAAATATGGCCATTTTTACTAAAATAAATACTATAAATTCTTTAGATATGGCATCCATAGCAAAGTTTGCAACACTATTATAATACTTTTCATTTTAGATTAGAGTTTACATGGAGGCACTTTCTCTAAGTTTGAATACAAATGTTGAATAGGCTGGTTCTAGATAAATGCAACTCAATTTTAGTGGCAAATATTTTCTGTCTATTAATCACTAATCAATCCATCTATGTATTTCTTACACAGTTTTCTATAACCCCATTTCTTTATCACCCCACACGCCAATAACTGTGCACAACTAGGTGCTACTCCCCTCCTCTTTCTCCTCTTTTCTCTACCTTCTTGTTCTCCAACCCCCCAGTGTGCAAGAGATAAAGATTATGTCCTGGCTGCTCTTTGGAAAAGAAAGGATGATGTCTATTGGGTATGTAGGAGAGGAGTTCTTGCCCTAATTTATCCGTTTGCCAGATGAGTGGCCTTGGGCAAGACACTTTCCCTCTGAGCCTCAGTTGTGTTTTCTTTTTTATCTTTGAAGTCAACAAAGGAAGGTGTTAGATTCCAAGGTCCTTTCCATTTCTAAAGTCCATTCTAGTCTTTGTAATCCAGTATTCATCTTGAGATGTGTGATCGGCCCGATGGCTTGCTTCTGCTCTGGGTTCCCAGTGTAGTACCTAGGTAGCTGCTCCATCACACTTCCCTTCAAGCCAGCAGAAATGTCTAGATAGCTCCTACAGGTGTCAGCTTTTCTGAGTGGCTTTGAAGTCAAACCTTCTGTTGAAATTGCTGTATCATCCTGCGGGAAGCAATGTTGAACGTGAGTTCCTATCCTTTACCTTCTTTCTCACTTAATCTCTTTAAACATAAAATTTCTTATTTACTTTTTTGGCTATCATTATTATTTCTAATAAACCTTTTATTTTAGAATAGTTTTTAATTTACAGAGAAGTTAAAATAGTACAGAGATTTCCCATATACACTATACCCAGTTTCCCTCATTATCACCCAGTTTCCCTCATTAACATCTTATACTAGTATGGCATATTTGTCACAATTAAGAATTAATATTGATAAATTATTATTAACTGAAGTTTATACTTTATTCAGATTTTCTTTGTTTTTACCCGATGTTCTTTTTCAGTTTCAGGATCCCATCCAGAATACCACATTGCATTTAGTTGTCAGGTCTCCTTAGACTCCTCTTGTCTGTGACATTTTCTCTTTGATGACCTTGACTACTAGTCAAGCATTTTTGCATAAGGCTCTTCAATTGGGATTTGTCTGATGTCTTTCTCATGATTAGACTGAGGATGTGGGTTTTTCTGAGGAAGACCACAGAGTTAAAATGCCATTCTCATTATATCATATCAAGGGCACACACAAGGGTACTTCGAAATGTTCACGGAGAGATTCGTATTATCTTTTAATTCTATTTTCCACATACTTTTTGAAGTACCGTCAGACTATTGACATGATTTATGACTATTGATGTTAGCCTTGATCACCTTGCTGAAGTAGTGTGTTTTAAATCAGGTTTCTTCACTGTAAAATTACTTCCTCCCTCCCTTTCAATCTTGTCCCCTTTGGAAGGAAGTTACTGTGCATAGCCAATGGAAGTTCATTTCTTAGTAACCTCACTGTCCAAGGTAGGTATTTCTGATGGCTGTTGTCTTTCCTCCTCCAGTTATTCAGGGATGCAGCATTCTTCCATTCTGTAGCTCTGACGTCTCCTAGGGTTTTTTTCATCTCAATCCAGCCAGCATTAAAGAAAGGCGAATGTGGAGGAGAATGTTTGCTTTTAAAAGCCTTGGCCTGAAAATGGCACACATCACTTCCACTTATGTTTCATACGACACTCATTCATCTGCCAAACCTAACTGCTAGGGAGGCTAGGACATATGGTCTAGCTGGGTGCCCAGGAAAAGAAAAGGAAATGGATTTGAGTAAAATGCTAGCAGTATTTGTCACACCACTTTAGAGCACAAAAGATAACAAATCAACCTCTCCCCCTCTGCTATCTAATTATATAGCCATTATTTCATTTAAAAAAGAAAAAAAAAAATAATGGAAGAACATAATCTTAGAATCAAAGAGTCATGTAAATTTTAAAAGTTAAAAAACTTACTCAATTGACTTTATTTTTATTAATTTAACTGTTGGTCTGTGAACATTTGGTAAGAAAAGGCACTTGCATGGCAGCATTTGAGAACCTCCATCCTCTATCCTGCGTGTACTAGGCTGCATCGTTCCCAGAGTCTGCCATGTTTTTCTGTCTAGAATGCCTTTCTTTTGGTTTCTTGGCCTATGAAAAGCCTACTCATTCCTCAAGTGAGAGATGAGGTGCCTTCACCCAACCTCCAGACAGAATTAGTCTTTTGTTCCATGGTGCCATCATACAACTCTGCCTCACTCCCTTATTTAACAGCTGTCCCACACTAGTGATGTATGTACATACATTTCATGCATTAGACTGAGTGCTCTCCAAGGATAGTACAGGTTTTAGTCATCTCATAGGTTCCCAAGCATTGTCTGACTAATTACATGTGTTTTTTGAATATATCCAGGATGCTGGATGTGCTATAAAGTGTTCTCATTTCTTTTTAGCCCTTTCTTTAAAAAAAAATAGCAAAACATGTTCTTTTTTCTCCTGATTATAAACCAGATCTTCACTTGTGATAGCCAAGTGTTCACGGACAAGGTGATCTTGAGCAAGCCTGAAAAGGTGGGAAGGGCTTGATAGATGTTAATAGGGGTGTAGGATGTCAGGCAGGCTATACAGCTTTCAGTGACCCACCCCAGTCTCAGGGCATTTGTTCAATACATGGTCAGATCTCCTTTGAAAATTCTATAGTGCATTACGTTCACTTTCATAGATCATTATATAATTAAAACTCAAGACTCTGAGCTTTTCTGGCACTATTCTCAGTGGTGGGGATTGGTATACTAGTCTGATGCTCATTATCCTGAACAGGAGTTTCCAACCTGAATTCCCAGGGCCCCTACAGTGGGATAGCTTCACCATGGCAAAAGAAGTGTTTAATTACAGGTACAGAAAGAGAAGCATTAAGAAAACAAACAATCACTTTCAGGCTTTAATGACTAAGCTGCCGTGCATCTCATAATCAAAGAAAACATGACTTCTTAAAGTGAACTTATCAAGCTTATTAGAAATAAAATATGAATAAGACAGTTGTCTCTTTCCTTCTGTCTATTACTTTCTATTCTCTACTCTAAGCCCACTGTTTACTCTCATGGTTTTACAAGCTCAATTAATATTTTTCGAAAACAGAAATTAGGGCATTGCCCCATTTCCCCAAATATCTGTGACCAAGTCCTATGTGCAAAAGTCCAACAATAGACATATGTTATAGGGGGCAACTCATTCCCAAAGAGTTAAACACATTGAATTCTTAACTAGAATTCCCTTGTTGACTTAAATATCAATTAATGTATTTGGTTTGACACACAGGCCTACCATATAGCCTGACAGAAAAAAAGAGATTCTTAGTAAATATTGATAGAGTAAATGGGCGAAAGATAAAGTTGACTAGCATAAATTCAGTGAATGTCCTTCTGAGGATACCATGTTGCTACTTCAGCAATCATATGATTTCAATCTCTGCCTCAATTTTTATCACCCGAAGCAGCAGTTTTCTTTTTCTCCTCATTTTTATGAAATGATTAGGGCTATAAATGTACTAGAATAGTTAATTTTTGCCCAACACTAGAGACAGAAAATGGTGATGCTGTGGAAACTGATTGTTGCTGGCAGCCAGCACCACAATGAGAAAATATTTGTAGTAGCTGATGTTCAAAAAAATCCAAATGTGTTTGACGGTATTCATGTGTACAGAATTTTTAAGAGTTGAGGACGACTTTTAGTTTAAAATGTGTAGAGAAATATGTATGACTTGATTTTTTTTTTTTTTCTGGAGAAAAGAATTTTGTAGTATGGGGCTCCTCTCTGATGAGGTATTTAGTGAAGGTGAAATCTGCATTTTCACTTATTTTCCAGTGACATCTCATGGCCATAGGATTTTGGCTTTTGCCTGTGGTTTTCATCTAAGGTATTCATTTTGGCTGAACTTGATCAGAATTTCAAAACCCAGGAGTTTTTGAGAAATAGTTCACATCTAGTAGAAATAAAAGTCTTCCAGAGTCTGGTCATGACTGCTAGAGGCTTAGGAATTATGATGGCATTTTGGCCTAAACAGTGATTCTGGAGTGGGACCATAAGCTTGGTGGCATCTTGCAGTCAGACACTAGACACTTGAGTAAGGGAAGTAATCCACTTTTTAGCATGCCTCTGTATTTTCCTAATCATAATTAGCTTTTATTTATTTACTGTTGGTTTACTGCTGCAAAATATTATGCCTCTGTCTCTAGAAGGGAAATAAAAAGTATAGATGTGTTACTGAAATGCCCCCTTTCCAAATACTTATTTCAATATTTAAGCCATTGGCATTTATATATTTATTTGCAGAATGTTTTTAACAATTTACAAGTATGCATTTTTATAAACAAAATAACAATTTGAATAATTATTTTATTTTGTTTTGCAGAACCCCAGCTGAAAGGAATTGTGACAAGGTTATTCAGCCAGCAGGGATATTTCCTGCAGATGCACCCAGATGGTACCATTGACGGGACCAAAGACGAAAACAGCGACTACAGTAAGGAATATTAGCTTCTTGCAATCCTGTTACAAATCAATGTGTGGCCCAGAGTATCTTATATTTAAAACATGGCCAGGGTGCCTTTGGAACTGCTTAACTGTTAGTAAGCTATTGTATTCTTCTTGCTATGACTCTCTATAGCAAAGAGGTGGTATGGGAGAGAGGTTATGTACTAACTGAGAAGGTAGGAGGCTTGAAGGAATTCCAGTTGGTAAATGGACAATATCCTCCCATCAGTGTTTTCAGTTAGGATGATGATGAATACTCATAGGAACAATACAGACCTTCCAGCACAACATGGTATTTAAATCTTGGTACAAAATAATGAACAAATTCTAATAATTCTCAGAACATCATTTCTAGCAGACAAAATTACTTCTTAAGGTAAATATTGGATACATATATGTGTATGTTATATGTTATTTTATTCTGATTAAGGAGAAAATTACTGATTTTAAAATAAAAAATGTTTAAATATGGTGATGTTTTACAATATGTATAACAATAATAAGATAATAATGATGACAGACTTGAAATGGAAATTTTAAAAATAATTTTTTTGTAAAAAGCACAAAATATTAAAGATTAATAACAATATCCCTGGAAATAGTTTTTAACTCATTTAACTGTAGAGTTGACAAGTTCAATAACTAATTGCAATCATCAAGGTATGATAGAGTGTTTTTGCATTTTAGAAAAATTTTAAATACAAGCTTCAAAGGCAAGAATGATAGCTCTCATATCTTTCAACTTCTGGATAATCATATACAGATTTCTCAGAGCAGATTCATGTTATTCAAAAACTATGCAGGGTGCCATATTGTTTGCTAAAGTTTGTCTCTATTCACTCCTAAATCTTTGGTGTTGGACACACAGTAAATACTCATTAAATATCGTTCAGTTGAGTTGTGACTCTGATGGATGTGATTTTGTGGTCAGAATGACAATCTACCAAACTTCATAAGGTAATGCAGGAAGCCTGTTATTTTATAGTGGAACATCTTCTAAATTAGCAAAGATTTGAGGAAAGATTCATAATCCCTAAAGTATGAAAATGCTCTTGTCCACCCCTTCTAAATCATTCTTTGTTCACTACATATTGCACGTTACAAAATATGAATTAGATAAAGAAAAGATTTTATTGTAAAGAATTTCATCCTGATGTTCTTGCTCTCAGTTTTTTGCAAAGTAGTTGGTTAGCTTATTGTGGTTTTCATTGTCAGTTTATGTTTGTGTGAATGCATTCTTTAAAGGATTCAAGAATTCGGTGCAGTACAGAAGAATGAGGATGCTTTTCTCCTCATGTAGGATCATCATCTTCTGCATCTGTACTTGAATGTACATTTAGTGTGGCTGCAAGTAAAGATGGTCCCCAGTGCTTTCCATCTTTCCTTCTTAGATCCATCACCTGTGCTAACTCTGAGATATCTCTAGATCTCAGTTTCTTTTTCTATAAAATGAGGTGGCTGGAGATAACAATCTCAGCATCCTCTTTCAGTACCACCCACCCAACTTAAAGAGAATTCAAAATTATAAATTATGAGTCTTTTGGGGGGGGTAGTCGGCATGGGGTTCTGAACCTGTGACTTTGAGGTTTTATAAGGCTGCACTCTAACCAACTGAGCTAAACGGCCAGCCCAAAATTATAAATTGATGAAGATGGATTCAATCCCCAAGTAAGCCAAATAGCCATACTCACTTCTACTGGGTACCAACTTAACTTATCCAGCTGTTCTGCAGATGCATAAGTGACAGTTATCACGGGGTGGGGGTACAAGGATGGGAATGCCAGTGTGGTGTCAAATGAACAAAAATTCTTCCATTGTTGTTTCTACAAAAATAATTGGAAGTGATTGCTGTGCAGATGCTGGGTCAATTAATAGTATAAATCCATGCCCATATGTACATACATACATACATACATACATAGACACATACCTGAACACATTTACTTCATGAAGGTACTTTAAAAATTTTCATAGAAAAATGAAATTAAAAGGTAATATGAGTCCTTCCATGAACTTTTTGAAGACCCCCTTGTAAAACAAAATATATATATTATAAATAAAAATATATATTATAAATATAAATATATATTATATATAAAATATGTATACTTTATATAAAATATATACAAAATGCATTTCATCCATATACAAAATATATATTATATATATAAATATATATCATCATGCATTATGCAAACCACACACACAAACACACACACACTCAGTGGGTCATGCATATTGTCAAATCTGCCTACTCTGTATTCCCTAGTACTTTTAGAAACTGAACTCACAAATTTAAATTATTTAATATTTTATTAAGATAAACTACTACACAGACTTTTTGATAAGCTGTTATTAAAAATAGTTAATAATGTATGAAATATAAAAACTAATATAAATTCATCTGGATAACCACCACCAGCTTAAAAAGTAATTAAAAATATCAATACATTTGAACCCCTTGTGTATTCTCTCTGATAGAATCCTGCTTTCCTTCATTACCAGACATAATAATTCTCCTAAATTTGCATAAACTGCATTTATTTCTATGCAGTTTAAAAAATATTATATATAAATATATGAATACTTAAATCATTCATTATATTGCTTTGCATACTTTTAAACTTTTTATCAGTGAAAGCATTATCATTTTTTTAAATGTACTTTTACTCCCAATGTTATGGTAGTAAGGTTCATATATGGTAACATATTTGCTTTATTTCATTCGTTTTTGTAAAATATTCCATGGTAAGAATATACCAAAACATATTTATTCATTTTCCTTTTGGTGAATAATTATCATTTCTATTTTAAGGCAATTACAAGAAGTGATGCTAAGATTTTTCTTATAGATGTTAAAGAGTCCGTTCCACAACCATCTGACATGCATATTGTTGCTGTTTATTTGTTTATTTTTGATTGTCTTCCCCAGGAGAATGTAAGCTCCACAAGCGAAGAGATTTTGTTCTGCTATTTCTTGGATCTTTAGAACCTGGAGTGGTCTCTAATATCTAATAAGCACTCAATACAAGTTGAATGAATGAGTGAACTGATACCTCCTAGTGAATATGTGCAAATGTTTCTCTAGGTCATCAGCTGAGTACTTCTGCCCACCCACATATTTTTAACTTTTTCTCTGGGAATCATTTTAGACCTCAGAAAAATTAGAAAGTTATAGTGAGCACCTGTCTACTCTTTGATGGACCTTGGACGTGACTGGCGCCATTTTACACACACTGAGCACAAAATGGCCGCCACCGTTTCCCTTAGAAGAAATCTCGTGGTTTCTGAGAAACAGAAACTCCTCTACTTCCGCATGGGTGCAACCTTCCACCTGATTGCATCTGCCAGCCTTATCTTCCACACCAGCACCAAACCCCTCCCTGATTACAGCACCCTTCCCTCCAGCCTATATAAGCCCTCCCACCCTGATGCCGCTACTGCTCTCCATCTTGAGTTCAGCCTGGCAGATTCTTTTCCTTTAGTAAAGCTTGATTGGTACTGGCATTCGGGCTCACTTTCTTTTACTCTTCACCCTGCTTCCTCTAATGGTAACTTTTCACATAACAGGACAGTGATCAAGACCAGAAAATTAACGCTGTTGCAATATATTTACTGAGCTATATAGCCTTTATTCAGATTTCACCAGTTTTTCGGCTAATGTACTTTCTTCCCACCCTCCCCCCATGTATTTTAATACAAAATTTCAAATGACAGTATCATTTTTATATACAGTTTTTCTTGGTGGTGATTAGTGGTAAAAATATCAGGGAGGGATTTAAATTCAACTCATTTTTTAAATAGAAAAATATAAGCCTCTCAGTTGTTAAAATGCCTTTTCTTTCTCCACTTTGTGTGGGTAGTAAAAAACAGTTGATTGGGAAAAAAAAATCTTGTTACTATGAGCATCTGTCAGAAATGTGTTGTTTGGTTCACTAGACAACAGTAGGTCCAGCCAACCTTACCATGGTATCTCTCGTAGAATTGATAAAAACACCTGTTCTTTTGTTCATGAAGAAAAGGCTAATTGCATGTAATTGAGTACAAACGCAAATGAGTTTGTCGGCAGTGACAGATAAGAATCTCCGCAAATGTAATGATGACAAAAATGCAAAACTCTGCTGGAACACTGGCAGAAAAAAAGACAATTGTAGTTTGGAGGGTATTAATAGGAATATTTTACATAAAATTAAAAAGCTAATTATTCTCCACGAGTTACCATAAGAGAAGATACATCTGAAGTGATAAAAATGCTGGGGAGAAAACAATGTAGATATTATAACCAAATGCATTATTTTCTTTTCTTCTGAACAAAAAATATTAAGTTATTTGACTATAAAATGGGCTGCCTGATAAGTTAGGAGAGTGGTGAAACTGGAGATGTTCAATCAGATGCTGTACTAGCACTTGAAGTAGGGGCGGTGGGAGAGGGGGTCTGGGGGGGAGGTTCATAAGAAAATCCCCTTGGTGTGGGAGAAGGAAGCATGGTGGTGGCGGTGGTTGGGAAAGTCTCAGAATTCAGTGAGATACTTTCAAAAATTATTTTGAATAGTTTAGATAAGTATATGGTACAAAATTGTAAAGGCACAAAAGGATATACAGTCAAAGAACAAAACAGTCCCAGACAGGCAGGAGCTGCTTTGGCACTCCCAGTGGACCTTGGTGTTCTTCTGTTGAATATAAACAATTTTGCAGCACACGAAATCAGACAAGGCCACTTTGAAGTGATGGATCAAGATAAAAGCAAGACCACTCCGTATTCATGTCTGAACACAGACAAAAACAAGAATGTTGTCCAAGCTACAAAATGACCAAATGTTTCTCCTGGATTATGTGAGTGGCCCCTGTTTTCTGACTAAACACAGCTTTAACCTAGCTCTGTTCTTGCCTTCTAGATAAGAATTAAGACACTAGCTCATAGAATTATACCCACTTCCTGAGAGCATCCAATCTGGAGCAAATCTACATTTCTTTGAGCCCTCCCTAAAA